GTGTGGGCCTGTGAGACAGGGGCTTTGTCTACTCCACTGCCTCCAGAGTGTAGAACGTGCTGACACGTGGCAAACCGCCAGGAGCTGCTTGCTGGAGGCATGGAACAGTCTTTTCCCCATTTCCAAGGGTCACACAAAATGCCACTTTGGCCCTGGCCAGGTTTTCTCAGTGGTTAGAGTGTCATGGGTTCAATTACTGGTCAAGAGCACACACCTCAGTTGCAGCTCCATCTCCCCCCGGGTTGGAGTGTGTAGCTAATCGATGTATCTCTCGCACATCCATGTTTCTCTCTCTCCCTCCCTTCTTTCCTCTCTCTCTATAAATCAATGGAAAATATTCTCGAGTGAAAATTTTTTTTAAAAAAAGCCACATTGACTGGATGAAAATACAAACACACGCCATGAGCCAGCCCCACGGCCTCTGTTCCCAGTGGCACTTTCTGGGCAGATAAAGGATGTGATGGGTCGGTCTTCCCTCCCCAGGAAGCAGAGCTGAGACTGGTGAAGTTCTTGCCTGAGATTCTGGCCCTGCAGAGGGATCTGGTGAAACGATTCCAGAATGTTCCAGAAGCTGAGTACCAGTCCATCAGAGGTTTCATTGACAGTCACAGCTCAGGTAGGCCTCTCCTGTCACAAGAGGTCAGGACACCTGTGTCTGGTGGCTCAAGGGTCACTCCAACGGGGGGTGGGGGCAGTTCTGGGCCCGAGGGCGCTTTTCGCAGGAGGATGGGTTGCCATGAACCCCGGGCAGGGCGAAGGCTTTGCTGCAGCCTCACTCCAGCTCCCCACACTGGGCCGCCATGCTCCCAAGGCAGCAGCACTTGGTGAGCGGGTGTAGGGCGAGCGCAATGTCCTGGCGGGTCTGACCTGCACAGTGGGGGTGTTTGGCAGGGGGCCTGAAGCAGCTGCTCCACAGCCGCATCATGGTGTTTCTGTCCACGTGGAACAAGCTGAGGAGGTCTCTGGAGACTCGCGGTGAGTGCACGCTCCCTTTCAACGCGAAAGGCCACAGGAGGACCCGTCCTCATGGCCCTGCCTGCAGTCCCCTCTCCACACAGCACCACCTGCGTCTGGGTGGAGGGGTCTGGGATGGTGAAACCACACAGCTGGAAAATCCACCCTCTGGCCTGGCCGGCGTGGCTCAGTGGTTGAGCGTCAACCTATGAACCAGGAGGTCACAGTTCAATTCCGGGTCAGGGCACAGGCCGGGGTTGTGGGCTCTGTCCCCAGTGTGGGGCATGCAGGAGGCTGCTGATCAATGATTGATGTGTAAATCTCATTGATATTTACTCTCTTCTCTCCCTTCCTCTCTGAAATCAATAAAAAAGAAAAGACAAAAAATCCACCCTCAGTCCTCTTGGGTCTGTACATGTGCAAACAAAAGGGACTTGGGAGCTCTGGGGACAGTGGCACCTGGAGAACGGGAGGGGGACCTCTGTCCCTGGGCGCTGCTCAGGCTTGGGGTCCCTGCTGCTGCTCCTGCGGGGCCTCCGGCCCTGATGCCCTGCAGGAAGCGGCTCAGAGCAGCTGCTGGAAAACAGCCTGTCCTTTAAAGGGGAGATCAAGCTGCCTGCAGACTACTGCTGTGCCGACCGGGACCTGGACACGGAGTTCGAGGTCATTCTGCCCCGTCGCCAGGGCCTGGGCCTCTGCGCCACAGCCCTGGTCAGCTACCTGATCAGCCTGCACAACGAGATGGTCTATGCGGTGGAGAAGTTCTCCAAGGAGGAGCACAGGTGAGGGCACGCCCGGGGGTCCTGCCCTCTCAGCCCAGGGAGGCGTTTCTGAGCCCTGGGGGCAGGGTCCGCAGGCCAAGTCAGCTCTCTGGCAAAAGCAGGTCCAGCCCCGCCCTCAAGTGTTGCAGGCCTCTGTGCGGTGTCCTCTGCTCCGGCCGGGAGCAGCACGCTGGACCGCCCCGAGCGCCGTCTTCCATCCGCAGCTACTCCGTGGACGCCTCTGAGGTGGCCGACCTGCACGTCATCAGCTACGAGGTAGAGCGGGACCTGCTGCCGCTGATCCTCTCCAACTGCCAGTACCAAGTGGTGGAGGAGCACAGGTGAGGGCACGCCCGGGGGTCCTGCCCTCTCAGCCCAGGGAGGCGTTTCTGAGCCCTGGGGGCAGGGTCCACAGGCCAAGTCAGCTCTCTGGCAAAAGCAGGTCCAGCCCCGCCCTCAAGTGTTGCAGGCCTCTGTGCGGTGTCCTCTGCTCCGGCCGGGAGCAGCACGCTGGACCGCCCCGAGCGCCGTCTTCCATCCGCAGCTACTCCGTGGACGCCTCCGAGGTGACCGACCTGCACGTCATCAGCTACGAGGTGGAGCGGGACCTGATGCCGCTGATCCTCTCCAACTGCCAGTACCACGTGGTGCAGGGCAGCGAGAGCCTGCAGGAGCTGGACCTGGAGCGGATCCAGCGCCAGGTCATCGGCCGCTTCCTCCAGGGCAAACCCAGGCTGAGACTTAGGGGCCTCCCCACGCTGGTGTACAGGCAAGACTGGAACTATGAGCACCTGTTCGCCAGCATCAGAAACAAAATGCCCCAGGTGAGCACTGTGCCTGTCTCACTGGGGGCTCCCTTCACACAGGCCACTCCCACACCGGGCGTTTCCTTCC